TGTCAAACACAATGGATACACTGCAAAATCAACTCAAATTTTGTCTTATAACTCTGTGTGTGCACAAGCACATGCACACACAGTCTATAAGAATGCTCTTAACAACATCCCGGACAGAATTATCAGTGTACTTAAACATTTATCATCAGTAATTTTTTTTTTTTCCTGTGAGGAAGATCAGCGCTGAGCTAACATCCGTGCTAATCCTCCTCTTTTTGCTGAGGAAGATGGGCTCTGAGCTAACATCTATTGCCAACCCTCCTCCTTTTTTTTCCCCCCAAAGCCCCAGTAGATAGTTGTATGTCATAGTTGCACATCCTTCTAGTTGCTGTATGTGGGACGTGGCCTCAGCATGGCCAGAGAAGCGGTGCGTCGGTGCGGCCCGGGATCCGAACCCGGGCCGCCAGTAGCGGAGCGCACGCACTTAACCGCTAAGCCACGGGGCCGGCCCTATCATCAGTATTAAAACACTTTCACCCTCAGACCTTTGAGTTAAAAAAGAAGATATAAAAATAGAGGAGCCAATATTTAGAATTGGAAACAATCAGTCTTAATACACTAAGATACAACAGATCAGATGCTCTCCAAACTAATCTCCACTTAACCAATTTGCCATATTACTCTTAAACTCTTCATTTTTTCCAAAAGACACGTGGACTTTATGCCCATAGGATAATCAGTGTTCATGGCTAGTATTTCCATATACATCTTGCTCCCACATCATGCTCCCACATCAGTCTGTTAGTTATACTCATTATAATTAAATAGTTTAATTAAATACTATATAAACCAATCTGATGTGGGTACAAAAAAGGCTGTTGTTTCTATGAAAACTAAGGTAAGTGCTTTGGAAAGACTCAATAAAGGCAAGTTGCTTTTTCAAAAAACAAATTTTAAGTGGGTAAGGCATTTAAACAGATTATTAAAATCTAAGATTCTGTGCCAGACTGCTTCAAAAGTGTTATTAGGTTATCACTCCACTTTATAAAAATTAAAACTAGACATTGTAGTCCACGCATGAAAGTGCAAGAAAGACAAAAAAGTCCAATCAGTAGATTTATATTTATATTTAAAAAGTGTAAGACCTTGGTTTTAAGTTAAAATAAAATATTCAAAGTAAGTACATATCATTTTTTTGAAAATAAAAATGTAACTGACTCTTTGACTAACTGACAAACCATTTGGTCCCAATTATGTTGGCTAAGAAAGTAAGTACAGTACTTAGGTTATGGCAACGTGTTGTTCACAAAGAGAACATAACCTAAACTTTTAAGAAGCAAATTAAAACTAAGTGCCTTCTATACCTAGATATGTCAAATTTTATAAATCAGAACTGATGTTACTGCATTCTGATTTTACACATGAATAACATAAGCTTTATCTCTCAGATTAGTGATTATAAAAATATTATTTATTAAAACTGTAAGAAGTCAGTTCTTCAGCAGATGTAATTAAACAAACAGCAAACTCTGGATGAATGACTATTCTAATTCTGAAGAGTTCTGTCAGATCACTTAAATGTCTAGGAAAAATTCACATCAATCCTTAAAAATAATCTTCTATTTTTTAAATCACTAGCCAATCTTTATAAACTGCACAAAAAAAATAAACGCTACCAATAATCTTTTCACGTCACCAGGAAAATACAAAATAAAAACCCCAATGCGATAGCACTACACACACACTAGAATGGCTAAATTTCAAAATAATGACAATACCAAATATTCGTGAGGATGAGAAGAAACTGAAATTTTCATACACTGCTGGTAGAAATGGAAAATTGTAAGTCACTTTATAAGTTACACACATACTGTGATAAATACGTATTTGGTCTTTGGGCCAGGTTCCTGACACAGAGCTCCTAAAAGCCTTGGAATCTCAGAAGTGTAAGAGTATCTTTTGTATGCTAATGAGATGACTGGTGGCCCCTAGACAGCTTCAGGATGGGTGCTGACTGCCAGAAGACCAAGGCATGATTAGAGGTGTGTAACTTTATTTATTTATTTTTTTTGCTGAGGAAGACTGGCCCTGGGCTAACATCCGTGCCCATCTTCCTCCACTTTATACGGGACTGGACGCTGCCACAGTATGGCCTGAGGTGTGTAACTTTCATCCCCACCTCCCAACCTCCAGGGACGGGAGAGATTTTGGAGCCTGAGCCAATCACCAACGGCTAATGATTTAATCAACCATGCCTATGTAATTAAGCCGCCGAAAAAAACCCCTAAATGGCAGCGTTCGGAGAGCTCCCGGGTTGGTGAACACGTGCTGGGAGGGTGGTGTGCCTACATAGGATATGGAAACTCTGTACCACCAACCCCTCACCCCAACCTTGCCCTATGCATCTCTTCCATTTGGCTGTTCCTGAGTTGTAACCTTTATAATAAACCAGTGAACGTAAGTAAAAGTGCCCTTCCTGGGTTCTGTGAGCCATTCTAGCAAATTACTGAACCTGAGGAGGGAGTCATGGGAACCCCTGATTCATAGCTGGTTGGTTAGACGTACAGGCGGCAACCTGGGACCTGTGACTGACTTCTGAAGTGGGGGCAGTCTTGTGGGACTGAGTCCTTAACCTGTGGGGTCTATGTTAATTTCAGGTAGTTATCAGAATTGAATTGAATTGTAGGACTGGTTGTTGGTGTGAAAAAAACCCACACATTTGGTGTCAAAAGTCTTGTGAGTAAAAACAGTGCAGATACATTTGTCACATAACTCAGAGAAATGAAAATGTGTCTGTTAAGACCTATATACAAAAGTTCATAGCAGTTTAACTCATAATAGCCAGAAAATGGAAATGATCCAAACGTCCACCAACTGGTGAATGGATAAACAAATAGATACACAATGGAATACTACTCAGCAATAAAAAAGAATGATGAGACAACATGGTTGAATTCCAAAGCATTATGCCAAGTGAAAGAAGCCAAACACAAAAGACTACATACTGTATGATCGTATTTATATTAAACTCTAAAAAAGGCAAAACAATAGTGATAGTAAGCAGATCAGTGGTTGCCAGAGGCCAAGGGTTGGAGAAACGAGGACTAACTGAAGCAAAGGGGCATGAGAAGTCATTCTGGGGTGATGCAAACGTTCTATATAATTGTTATTACATGACTATACACTTTTCACAATTAATCAAATTGTACATTTAAAATTGGTGGGTTTTATTGTTAAGTATATGTCAATGAATTTGACAAAGAATATTAAAGAAACAATTTTATGAAAAAAAATGTTCTCCTTTGGCTCTCTTTTTATGAAGTTTTCCAAAACAATATAAATGCATACAACATGCTTTACTCAGACTTTTTCCTTTTAACATAAAAGTCTGTAATCCCAGAATCACTAGTAATAAATTTCTTAATGTTCTCTGGTACAGATTAAGACAAATTATCTAGTTGCATTGTTAGTTTTTATTGCCAACTAGACTGCATAATCAATCACTAAATGTCCTTTTTATTTCAAAGATAACTATGATGCACATAAATATATGCTACTTTTCCTCATTTATACCTTTAATTTTAATGATGTGAATCATTATTCTGATGATTCTGTTATTCTAGTGCATCTGTCATTCTGACAGGTTTACCTTCTTAAAGTGATTTGTTGTCCATTATTTGTTTGTTTGTTTTTAATGTCACATTTAGGTAGGAGAGGTTTAAAGGTACTAGATGCAATATTTAGATTTCCAGGCTAAATATCCAGGAAAACAAACTTTCCTGTGCCAGAAGCAGATATAGAATCAAAGTGACTTAGTATCATATAAGCCTTAAGGAATACATAAAAGTAAAGCCAAAAGATAGCAAGATGGTGAATTATGGGGCAGACCTGGCCCACAAACATGTTCTGTTTGGCTTGCATAAATCTCAAGAGATTACTCATCTAACTTTCCAGTTACTCTTGAAAAATAAGAAGCCCTGGCAAGAACGGGCTCACAGTCCTAAATTAAGACAATCAGCTAAGGCTAAGAAGACACTGACCCTTTAGACAGGGCATCTCCTCTTTAGTCTGTCCAAGCCCCTTAACACTTGAGTTCACTCACTGTAACTACTTGCCTGGCTACACGTACCTGCGTTTTCAAACCCTAGCAGAACTATTTCTTCTATGTGCCTCAACTAACCATAACTGAAGGTGAAGTGAGAATTACATGGAAGGAGTTTCCCCCAATATTTGTTATGCCTAGTTCTCCCATAAAGGCAGCCCCAAAAAAACCTGTTTAGGGGTCGGCCCCATGGCATAGTGGTTAAGTTCGGTGCGCTCCACTTCAGTGGCTCAGGTTCGAGGGTTTGGATCCCAGGCGCAGACCTACACCACTTATCAGCCATGCTGTGGCGGCAACCCCCATACAAAACAGAGGAAGACTGGCACAGATGTTGGCTCAGGGCTAAGTTTCCTCAAGCAAAAAAAGGAGAAGACTGGAAACAAATGTTAGCTCAGGGTGAATTTTCCTCAGCAAAAAAAAAAAACCTGTTTATCAAAAGTAAAGTATAAGAATGCATATGCTCTACTATAGAAGGCAAAATGTATATTGAATGCTGATAATATGGTACACTGTGCATGAAAATTAAAAGCAATTTAGTGGATTTTCATGCTAGGCACAGACAAACCTAAATTCTGGAACTTTATTTATTACCTTCATTAATATAAGCCAATTCATGTGAAAAACCAAAGCAACAACAACAAAGCGTCTTTGTTCGTCTGCCATAAAACTGAACCTTTTAATACATAAAGAGCACGTGAGTATATTGAAGGTTTTAGCAAAAGGGTAAAATAAACAAAATATAGCAATGTGTTAGGAAGCAAACAGGAATATAATTATAAGCATTCATTCATTAGCTAGAATGATCATTGTTCATCCCATTTATTCAATGAAAAGGAAAACTACCTTTTACCACAACTTTGAGGTACTTGCTGAGATATCTCTTTTTAGTTACCAAAGAAAAGTTTGGACAGCCCTAGATACAGTAAGTTAACAGAAAAAGAAAATCTAACAGACTTACCCGCTCTACAGTTGCCTCATCCCCTGGTAGACATGCAGCAGCAGCAGCAGCACAAGCTATTTCCATCACAGTGGAGCTGGTAGGAGCATCAGTTGTGGATGAAGACCTGGGTCGGCCGGACTGCATAACAGTTGCCATCTCCTGGCCAGATTTCCTGTTGATTTGGGGACTTCCCTTTGGGGCCTCTGGCTTGCCCCGCCTACTATGCAAGCTCGTTCCTCTCTTCATCTTGGGTGGCACTCGGATCTGCTGCAGGACACGATTCAGAGCTGTGGGGTGGGTGGGGACACCATCAATCTCAGCACATGCGTTCTGGCTTTCCAGATCCATTTCAGGTTCTGGATCTGCCTGAATTTGTTGCACATCGTGTGGAGACACTGATGATCTCCTGCGCTGGTGCTGGAAGAGATGCTTCAAGCCTTGGCCAATCACATTAATGTTCTCCAAAGCATTGTGAGTCATTTTAGACAACTTTTGTTCTGATTCTGTTTGTTTTCTGGCCTCTGCATCTTGGGATTTGCCTCCAGGATCAGGGTCCTCATATAACTGTTCACTGCCTGAAGGCTCCATCAGTAGACTTAATATGCTTATTTGCAAACTCAAAAATTTTAAACACACCAAGACTGTCAAATTAGGAAGGCATTTGCTTCAACAGTAACTACACATGCAGCTGTGAGACGGAGGCTTCATGCCTATCTAATGTTAAAAAAAAAAAAAAAAAAAAAAAAAAGAACCTCATATTATAAATCCATGCAGAAACTCCAGTGTTAAAACAAAGAAAAACATGCCACTAGCCAAACAAATAGGCACTATCATTAAGCAATCTTTAATCAGAAGATTAAAAGACAAGTTTTCTAGACAGTGGGTAATGATTATTTTCTAGAATAGGAGAAAAGGCTCAGAAACAAGTACATAGGAAATAAAAACAGCAATGTTTAAATAAAAAAATCCCTACAAGTTTCAATATATGAAGAATTGAATATCAGAGGAGTCATCTTGGAATGGAAACCATAATAATAGTTGACAGAACAGCTATTACTTGAGAAATCAAGAGAGAACAGACCATTCAATATGTACAATATAGCTGAGGCAATTTAATTCCTCTCATTCACAACCACAGTTAATTATCCATATGCTGAAACTCAGTAGAGTAAATTCAAAGAATAATAGTGAGAAATGGATATCCCAATCTAACTGTATGTGGATTTTAATGGAAAAGAGAAATTTCTTGTCACCATTCATATTCATCAAGGTCACTGGTAACTAGTGGGGAGAGGTTTGCTGTTATGAGAAGAAAACGGAAATAAAAATCTTATAAATTTAATTCTCCACTGAAGCACAAATGACCTTCTGGCACCATAGGAGTGAATGATCCAGAAAGAATCTGTCTCCAGAGAGACTAGAGCTTTGCTCAGTACCAGCTATCAAGAAAAGAGATTCAGGGGCCAGCCCGGTGGCACAGCGGTTAAGTGAGGGTGCTCTGCTGCAGCAGCCCGGGGTTCGCAGGTTTGGATCCCAGGTACGGACCGACGCACGGCTTGTCAGGCCATGCTGTGGCGGCGTCCCATATAAAGTAGAGGAGGATGGGCACAGATGTGAGCCCAGGGCCAATCTTCCTCAGCAAAAAAAGAGGAGGATTGGCATCAGATGTTAGCTCAGGGCTAGTCTTCCTCACCAAAAAAAAAAAAGAGACAGAGAGAGAGATTCAAAGAAATTCCCTTCTCTGAAGTGTTATCCTTGACAGAATCTTCTCACATATCTACACAAATTCAAAAGCAAAAAAGTAACACAGTAACTGAGTATGATGGAAGAGTAGAGGGAAAAAAAGGTCAAATAGCAATCACACACCAATATTAAATGCAGAGGGCCGGCCCCGTGGCTTAGCGGTTAAGTGCGTGCGCTCCGCTACTGGCAGCCTGGGTTCGGATCCCGGGCGCACACCGATGCACCGCTTCTCCAGCCATGCTGAGGCCGCGTCCCACATACAGCAACTAGAAGGATGTGCAGCTATGACATACAACTATCTACTGGGGCTTTGGGGAAAAAAGATTAAAAAAAATTAAATGCAGAAAATTAAAAGGAAGCTGAAACTAAGAGATGTAAGGTCAGCACAATTGCCATGATTACGGAAATTACATGCAAAAAAAGAGGAGGGGAGGTGGTAGGGATGAAATTTTTCATAACAGAAAGTGTTTATTTTTGTACTGAGTTTCTGCAAATATATAAAACAAAATTGTTTAATGCACAGAACCTGCTAGAGAGGACAAAATATGGTGTAACAAGTTTTTTCCATATTTTCCCTCAACTTTCTGTTCAAAGAGCTTTAAAACTCCCTACACTACCAAGTACCTTGAACAGTCTAAGTTACTACCAATGAAGCACTATACTGGTCATGTTCTGGGGATATGCAGACTCCTTGACACCAAGTAGCAATCTAGAAGGCATAAATTAGATGGATATAAGAGTTCACTGTGAACTCAAGGATACTAGAGTTCAGAGGGACAGGAATGCAAACCCACTAGTTTTCTTCATGGTACTACTCTCAGAAGACCTTCTTACTATGTATATGGACACTATCATTGTGGCTCTGCTGTCCATATTCTTTCATGCCTATTTTCCCATCTCCTGACCTCTTCATGACTCAGGAGCATAAACAGTGTGACAGGGTTACAGACATTTGTCTCTCATCAGTACCTTCCTACTTTCTAAATACCACAAAATTTTTTGCTCCCAAACTAAGCAAACTAGCAGGCATAAGAGTAAGAAATTTCACTTCCTTTCATTCAAATTCTTTGTGGCCACACTGAAATCTTGCCACACCACTATAGCCTCTTACCCTTTTTCTGATTGTCCACTGCTGTTGTTTTTCCTTTCCCTTTGGGAGAGCCAAGAAAGAAACCCTTAATCCTTATTAGATTAATGAATGTCTTGGCCTCTATTGGAGTTTTCTGGGGCTCCTTGTGGGCAAAGTATATGTATTATTTAATTTTCCTCACCTTCCCTCATGAGTTTGTAGGACAGACTAATAGTTACTGAATTATTTCCACTCTGCAAAGCACAGAGCTCCTCAGAGAAAAAGGACTATGTAACCAAGATAATCTAGTAACAGTGTACATCAACTAATATCTACTTGCACTGGAAGCTATTTAGACCCTGAGAAGATGGGAGGATGTGAAAGCAGCAAGCTGATAATGAGGAAGTAATTTACTTTTTTCCTTATTTGTATTGTATTAGCTAAATAATACAACTTATTTTTTTTGTTGTTTTTGGAAGTAAAATATATAAAATAAGTTTCTCTCATGAGAGTAAAAGATACCATGAAAAAAGGAATGGTGTCAAGGTTAGCAGGAAAACCAAATGACCTACTTGTCTCATATATGAAGGTACTAGAAATTTATTACTCAGCAAATCTGTTTCTTTGGGCAGTGTTATAAGCTAATCAAGTGGCCATCTGCCTCTTATTTTTAAAAAACAAAGAATAAGGTACATTTTAAACGTCAGTAGCTTCATTTGAGATTTCACTAGCATTTGTACATCATTTATTTTCAAATAATTCAAAATGATGATCAATTACAATGAAATGTCAGCATTCCTAGGAAAACCTAGAAACAGGGTGTCAATTTCCAAGCCAAAGTTTGCACAGGCTACCTACATAGCTGCAAAGATTACATAATAGAAAAGTAATGGATTCTCAGATTTCTAAAGGCAAGACATAGCTTACTGATACTAACTAGCAGAGGTTACCTAACATGGAACCCCAGTGAAAACTAAATTGAGATAGCTTAGATAGATAGATAGATAGATAGATAGATAGATAGATAGATAGATAGACAGACAGACAGACAGATAGATAGATTGATTGACTGATTCATTCATTCATTTATTTTGTGAGGAAGATCAGCCCTGTGCTAACATCTGCCAATCCTCCTCTTTTTGCTGAGGAAGACTGGCCCTGGGCTAACATCCGTGCCCATCTTCCTTCACTTTATACGGGAAGCCGCTACAGCATGGCTTG